TGTTCATGAGGAAGACGGCCATCTCAAACTCGGGGCTGGTGCCGATGAAGGCACTGCCAACGGGCTTCACCACACCGTGCCAGCTGAACTGAAGGTTGAGAACGTGGTCATCTTGATCAGGCTGTGACAAAAGCATGAATGTTTATGTTACCAGCGAAGGAAATGAATCTCTTCTGTCTTGTGAACTGTTATTCTTACCAAATCATGCTCCCTGGCTTTATATCCTTTGTAGTCCAAGTGTTGGTTTTTCTCTTGCAGGTAGAACTGGACCCAGTTGTGAAAACCAATGATTTCTGTTCCTGATTTTGTCTCGCCAACAAACACATGTTCAAATCCACTGGAGTCCAGGCTGGTGATGATCAATTTAAGAACAGAAACACACATACTTCTTACCAAAGAAATGCATATTAAATTATAGTGTTGCAGAATCTCACTTTAGCTGTGTTATTAAAGATTCTTTTTTTTGATTTCTCATTTAAACTTTGTGAAAAGAAATCCTCTAATATCTGACATCCTCCTCCATTTTCTTTCTGGCTTCTTCATGGTTGCAAACCTGAGTGTGCCCAGAGGAGAGGAGGAGATGCTGTGCTATTTCTGAAGAGAAAAGCACATCATCTCCGCTGTTGGAGGGGTTATTGTGAGGAATTTGTCTCATGTGTCCCCACTGAGATCACTGAAAAGCGTGGGGTTTCTTCCACCTACAAAAAGTACATCATGTCCACATTCCTGCAGTGATCCCCTTCTGGGAGACCGCTGAGGCCAGAGCGACATTCCACAGCTGCACACAGATGTTATTTTGCCTCTGTAATGTCTTGAAGTAATGTGTGCAGAGCAGCAGTGCAACAGGAAGAACATAAAACTCCTTCTAGAGTTCAGCTGCAGCCTCAAAACCATGAACTGTAGGAAACAATAGAAAGTTGTGCAATACCAAAAACAATTCTCTTGTTGCTGTGAGGAGACATTCAGACTGAAACTACCAGGTTTCTCCAACAGAATGGAGTAACTGAAGTGCTCAAATGTAAACTTTCTGCTCGACAGAGCTTGTTGTGACGCATACCTTCATGACTTTTGTCTCTAAGACGGCGTCCAAGAAGAGATCCATCTCTGTGAGCTCCTCTGTGGTGACTTGTTCCGTCACGCCAGTAGACCGCTCATAGTTGTCCAGCAGTGTCACAAAGCCTGCGAGCCCAGAAATCCCATTTATTACAGTGATGACTGCAAACACGATCTGAATGTTTAAGCTCAGAGTGCTCACAACTACACACTTACTAGAGAAAGTGGTTATATTTCTCAGTTTGCTCTCATTAACGTTGGAGAAGAGCGGCTGTGAGGCGTGATCCAGCACCGTGTGGATGCCCTGACTTACAAAGCTTGCTCTACCCTACGCAATTCAAACACAGAACACGTCTTTGTACAAACACAAGACACAACAGGCGCTAAATAAACTAGAAAAGATTTCTCACCTGAAAAGAGATCGTGTAGTCTATCCCAGGTGTCATGCGATTCACATCCAAACTCCACAGCTCATTGAAAATAGTGGAGAGCTGTATTCAGCTGCCTGTGCAACAACGTAAACAAACTAATCTTCAGTCAGTAAATAAAAATACAAACCTCGCAGACATGACGCCAAATGAAAGTGTCCACTGTTTCAGCCTGGACTGCAGCAGAGGACTCACACACAGCCTGTCTGTCTAAAGGTCCAGCCTCCACCCAGAATCTTGCAGGGGCCTTTCTGAGACTGAGACCCACTTTTAACCACCAGATGGCGCCTCATTTCAAGGCACAGCCTCTCTCTATGGTTTTGCATGAACTTTTACTAAAGAAGTGATACAGCGATGCAGCTTCAGGTGGTTTTAATTTTTATTTTTTACACAACTTATCTTATAAACCATCACACACATGATGCAATTTCACAAAAGTCCTATCCAGAGTCTCAGTGAAAGGTTTTTCATGTATTGTTTCAGTGTAAAGGGGAATAAGAGAAGAGTAGACTCATTATTCAATGAGTAGGTAAAGTAGGCTGTGCAAATGTAAGGTGAAATGTAAATCTGGGGAAAGGCAGTGGTCTGTGACTTGAACACAAGGGGGGTGTACTGAGCTGTCAAACAGCAGAAAATGTTTTCTCAGAAATGAAAGCCTCTGTGCTTTAAAATTCACCAAGATGCTAAAATTAAAAGTTAACAGCCTAGATTAAATTTAGCTTTATGGAAAAATATAGCTGCCCTGGTTTACCTCTGAGCAGGAGCACACATATTTGTTTACTATGTGAGCATGTCCTGTAGAGTGACCACATGTCAACAGCATTATTATAGTAGGTTACACTGTAGTGGTGTGATGTATATCACCAGTACAGAGGTGTCAGCAGGGGCCGATGGGTGCATCTCACCACTGAACACAGACTTTTGTGCAGAACTGTAGAAAGGCCGTACTGTGCATGTATGAACGTGTGGAGACATGACAGGAAGAAATGAGAGGAGAGCCAGACAGACTAGACAAAAGAAATAAATCTGAGAAAGACTGAAAAAAAGAAGCAGAAATAAAAGAGACTTCGAAACTTCGAGCTCTCGATTACACACAGAAGACGCATCTCATAAGTTTAGTGAGTGTTCTGTCATTTAGCGCCACAGCAGTTCACACATCTAAACTCCGCAGCATTCAGATTCTGTGCCACCTCACAGCGGTAAACAATTAATATCAGGCCTGGATGCTGTAAAGGGTAAACTCCAGAACCGAGTGCTAAAGGGGAACAACCATTCTCCGTCTCTTTGTGGCAATAAAATTGAGGCTCTATAAATAAAAGTCTTTGTGGAGGATTTAATTGTTGAACAAAACACAGAAATCCTGATTACAGAGCAGTTGTGTAGAGCACATTTTGTCATCTCCAATTATCGGTCAACATTATCGACCAACATTAGAGAGTTCTTGCGTCCCCGAAGCTTGAAGAAAAAAAATAAAATAAAAAAATAAATCGGACATTTTGACAGGTGTGGATTTAATTTCTTCAAAGAAAACAAACGTATTTAAATTACTTTATTGATTTATTAATTGCATAAGTGTACAAAAAAGACATCTTTTCAGGGAAGGTGGAGAGCTGCAGAAGGCATTATCGCTTTGAGAAAACCAGACGTTTCCTTGCAGCACAACATTTCCCCAGAAATAACTGCAGGTTTCCATTAAAAATCCTTTTTTGGTAAAAACAATGATGAGTTCTTATATGACTGTGTTGCAGTTTCAAAACATGCAGCAAGATTCTTGCTTTATACTGTATATGCACATTTGTAAATGTATAAGTGACAGAATAATATTTAAAGACTGTTCTCATTTCCTTTAGCAGAGTTCAGTTGTGTAGAAAACATAGCAGCTGTTTGAGGGTTTTTTCTTTATAACTTCAAAATGGAAACAGTCTCAACACATCACTTCTAGTCCAACTCTTTCTTCTAGCATTGCCACAGTCAAAAGGCAATTTAAAAGTCATATATTAAATCTATATAGGCATTTTCTAGATGTTTTTTTTTTTTTTTTTGCTGGTTTTCACTTCAGTTAAAACAGGAAGGTACCCGAATAGAACACAGAAATAATATCTCCAGAAACCAGCTGGCAGGCAAACAGTGGTGTTATCCTACATGTTCCCTCTGACATCAGTCGGGAGTAATGAAGACTAAGTTCAGGAGTGAAAGTGGCCTCTGGACCGAAGGCTTCAACATTTAAAAATCAACTAGAAAGACACGACGCTAATACTTTTGGCTCTTCTTTGAATGTAACACTAAAAATGAGGAAAATGTGGGAGCATTCTTGTTTTTTTGTTGAGACGCGTGTGTGCAAGTGGAGAGGGTTGGCACAGAGTTTCATTCACAGCAGGATCAGGTCTGATGCTGACAGCCTCATGCGTTGGAGTCGTCGTCGGTTACGCTGGGGTTCGGAGAATTGGAGATCTCTTTGAAGAGTTCGTCGTCTTTCAGCATGCTCTGGTAAACGAGAGAAAAGCATTAAGTTTACTATCAGAAGCTGTGGAAACAATAATCAGTGAGTAATTGTTCCTGGTTCTCACCGTCAGATTCTGAATGCCCTCAGAGAAAGCACCAATCTGTCTCACGGTTCCCTCAGAGTCCTCCATCTGTGAGCAGAAAGCAATAGAGCACATATTTAATATGACTTTTTTTTTTTTTTTAATTAAGCAAATCATTAATGAATGCTGAAGAATATGCTCACCTGTTCTAGCCGGTCGAGGTCATCTTCATAGATTTGGAGCTCGAAGCCTTTTTGGAAGCTCCGACCCTTTGGCATCTCCACGTCCATCGGACACACATACTCCTCGTTCTCTTCCTGCTTTTTCTTCCTCAGACTGCCAAAATTACCGAATGATAGTTTCTTTGGCTGGTGTGAACCAGAGAGAGAGGACAGGTAAGTACTACATACATTCGCACAGGAACGCACACATACTGATTTAGAAAAAACACAAAAAGGTCATCATATTTGATCAGTGAGTTTTTGAGACCTCTGCATCATCAGTGTCATTTTTTCCTCCTGGAATAAATTGCACAATAAAAATTTAAGTAATATGTTGCACAAAAATGCCAGATGGAGCAAAAAGGATACGAACTAAAAATCATATGCAAACTGATATCACAAGATTTAAACAAAACAAACAAAAACTTAAAATGTTGAATTTTCTGGCAATGATTTTATGGTTACAGGGTTGATGCCAGTTTTAGTGACTTAAAATTCCTTTAAATTAATGTGTAGGCACATTTAATTTCCATGAGAAACTAAACTTTAATATCACTTTGTCAAATCAAATCTCTCAACTTGTTACCCATTTAAAGAGAATACACAGGAAAAAGCATTTCCAACATATTTTCCTTGTAAGTGCTCTGAGAAGTAATTGTAGTACTTGTAGTAAGAGAGGACGGTCTGTCTGTGGGAACTCGTGCTTTACCTTGACCTTAGTGGTTGCAGTAAGCAAAGTGTAGTCTGGGTTTTCGAGACACTCCTGTTTGAGCTGCTGGGCCTCTGAACCAATGAGCAGGTTGAAATGTGTGGCAAGGTGGCGCCGCAGCAGAGTCTTGTTGGGGGGGATGTTCAGCAGCAAAGCCATCGTCTCCACATTGAACCGTGGCTCCAGAACCTGAGCGGGAATTTGGTGTATTAGGAGCGGACACAACCCAGGACAGCGTCTGCTCTTCCAGGGAAATTAACAACTAACTCTCTCACCATCAGGCCCCCATGGACGCCGCTGCCTCTCAGGTTGGGAGCATATTCAGCGAGATCCACAGACCTCAGCCACTCCATCACCCTGTGGTTGGTCCACTGGGAAATCTCTGCCGGTGAAATGTTGTTCTACAGACACAAAGTACAAACCACAAGCACAGTGTGTTCACACATAGCTATGAGTATGTAAAGTCAGTGGGCCGAGCAGCAGAACAGGCTGTTAAAGCGAGCACACCTCGTCTGACGGCCGGCGACGGAGGCAGTTAGGCTCATAGTTGTTGAGTCGGAGGACTTGAATAGCTCTCTTGATGCTGAGGTGATGCAGAACGCTGCCCACCTTCAGGGAAAGCAGGTCATCCTGTTGGACAAAAAAAAGATATCAGTGATTTGCTCTAAGATTGACTAAACTGTGATTGTTATCCTTAAAAACACAAGACATCAGAGCTTAAAGAGGATCAGAGAGCCAGTGCTGAAATACAAATACCTGAGAGGGTGAATCTGGGATTAGACAGGAAACTTTATTTTTATCATGCCAGGTCACTTCTGACTGATACATCAGAGCTAACTCATGCTGCACATCTTACCTGTTCCTGTGAAACATTGTTTGAAATAACAGATCAGAGCTTTCTAAGAGCAGAGCATACCAACCAATCAGTTCTCTGGGAGAATAATTAAAATAGATGCCATGAAGTTCAGTTAACACACTGTAAAGGGGGTCTTACTGCCTTTCCCAGAGCACTGAGGCGCTATTTGCTGTAAATGTTCTTTACTTAAGGCCAAGGTTATGGAAGCTCCTCAAACTTCTGAGAAAATAACTGAAAATTGAGAAACTAACTTGAAATTTGAATTTTTGATTTACCAATGGCAAAGATTACTCTTTTTTCAACACCAGGATTAAAGAGTGAGACTAAAAATGTGCCATAAGAAGAGGGTACATTTAAGAATGAGTATTAAAGCTTACTTACCTTGAGGGAGCACCATGAGGGCCAAGTGAGAAAATGCACAAACCAAACATTTGTAGTTTGCGTCTGCACTGTTCTTTTCAGAAGTTGACTACATTTTGTATGGACATTTTTCCTTTTCAAGCTTTTAATTATTTGGCTGTTAAAAGTTGTGAAACGAGCTGTTGTTTGTGAACGTAAGGAGGGTTTAGTCCGCTGTGAGGCAAAACAGAAGAGTTGGAAGAGAAATTCTCTTGGTCTTTTTTTCCCATAACGTGATGTGAAAAGAAATGTATGCATGCAAAGAAGTATTGTTGCTATTGACCTCTCCATCCACTGGTGTAAGTGCTCAGGGTCTATGTAAAATAAATTAGACTTCTTTAATCCTCCTAATAAAAACATATTCCTGGTTTATTAAACTTGCTTTGTAGTGAGGCTTCCATCACCACTGGAGCTCTGTGCAGTAACACTAACATGAGGTGACACTAGAGTCATCAGCCCAGCTTATCCACAGGGTCTGTGAGGGGAGTGAATGTCTCCTATCGGCACTCACCACAGTCATGTAGTGCAGCATGCGACCGTCCACTCTTCCCTCATCAAACTGGGTCTTATACTGAGGCAGGCCGATGTCATCCAGCCATCCTGAGAAGAGGCAGAGAGAATTACATGAATTATTAACTCGAGTAGAACATCAAGTAAAACATCACAAACATAAAAAAAGACCAGCAGACTTATATCTTCAACTAGCAGCTGGTACTTACTTGTCACCCAGTTGTAGTCCAGCTTTCCCTTATTGTCCTCCTCCTCTGAGCCGAGGGCCTGAAGAGCCAGCTGGAGCTTCTTTCTGTGCAGCGGGTGTTTGATGCCCAGCTCCTAAACATCCACAAGTTTGGATTAAACATACAACATTCCCCAGTTACTACACAGGAAGTTGAGGGCAGGAATACTTTGCTTTTCTTCCAGTGTTGGTAAACTTATTAAATTCTTCTGCTTCATCGCACCCTCTCCAGGTCCAGCTGCGAGGCCTGTAGCAGCGTCTGTCCAGAGGAGATCCACGCGCGAGCCATGTTTACATAAAGACCAAGACCCTGCTCCTGCAGCCAGTCGCACACCTGATCCTTCGGCCAGCGTGCAAAGGGAGCGTCTACGTCACTACACAAGAAAAGAGAAGAGTCAACAATGAAATAGGCATGCAGACACGCCCCTGTGGACGTAGATCAGTTGTAGTACATGCACTTGTTACATCTTTATTATTCAAACAAACACTACATTCACTGTACAACACAGATTCAAAACAAGGAAACCACATTGTGACTTTCATTATTCATGCTGAATGCACTGACTCACTTGTTGACCCTTTGAAGGTCACGAGACCAACCCAGTCTGGGTCCTGCTGTGGCACGCACTCCTCCTCGCTTGAACTCACCCTCTGGTAGATTGTCATCCAAATTAAATGTGGTAGACTGGCTCCTTTTTAACCTGAACAATAAGACATTAAAGTTAAATACTTAAAAAAAGAACACTCAGAGGGAGGATGTTTACAGGTTTTCTACTCACTTCCCAAAGAGCTTTTTTATTCCTTTGGATTTTTTTCTGCTTTCTGGAGTAGTGGGGAGCGTGTGTGTGCTGTCACTGTTATTCGACCTCTGTGGCAGCCCTGCCAGATCGAGATGGTCCGTACCCTGTCGTTCTGTTTCAGCTGTGCAAACAAATGCCAGCAGATCAGCATCAGCATCATGAGGATAAGGCAGACAGAGCTGCTGCACAGGGTCGGTGCAAAGAGCCAGAATACACTGAGACAGGCACATGAGGACTCCGGAGAGGTCACTGTGAGCAAAGCGATACGCTCTCTAGAATGGCATGCATGCAGACACTGTTCACTGCCTGAGAAAAGGATTGTTACTTTGTTTTAGATTTAGTTGGAAGGTCTTTGAGAGCCGTTTAAATTATTTTATCGAATAATCTGGATCTCAGCACAGCTTTGTGCTCGGGGAAAGCTTTAAAAGAAAAAGGAGTGTAGGCAAAAACATGCAGGAACATGGCAAAATCTACGTACACTACAGCACACTCAACATACACAGGTACAGAAGTTTGTGCAACAAAGAACAGAGACAAAGTACTGCAGCTATTAAACTAAAAAAAGATGTCAGCGAAGTGAATGGATGAGATCAGAAATTGCAGACAGAAATATTCAGCAGTTTGCTTTCTCTGGACAACTAGTGCAACTCTACCGTGACTTGTGATCTATACTGTACCTAGCATAGGCGCACTCGCACTCCTGCTGCGGTCTTCATGTGTTACAAAGAGCACAACACACAGGACAGGGTCCAACAGAAAAGAACAAGAGGCCAGAAATTATGAGTGAAATAATAACGGGATTGGGGAGATGGGATGCAGATATACAAGTGTACAACACACACACACACACACACACACACACACACACACACACACACACACACACACACACACACACACACTCACTCACTCACACACGCACACACACACTC